ATAATGTTTGAGCTTGAGGGTTTTTTTGTTTTCTTTTTTTTGTAACAGGGGAAAATGAGGAAATATATAAAATGTAATGAATGGGGCCACATGTGTGTATTAAAAAAAATTTAGGGTCGTGTGTAAAATATAGACTCATACAAGTAATTACATTTGACGGTATTACATAGATTCACTGAGATGAAAGAAAATGAGGTACACGACAAAAACAGCATGTGAACCTCGGCAGCATTTGTAATGCTAGCCAAAATAGGGGAGTTGGTGAAAGGGGTTATTGGAGGATTCGATATTTTCTTAAATTATTTTTTTCCAAGAACCATAACTTCCATTAAACGTCTAAAAGCCACCCCATTCCTTTCCACAACTTATATAATCTTATGATTAATTTATTCGCCCCCCAGAAAATGTTTACATACACAAATTTTTATATTCTCTTGAATAACTTAGCATAGCTAATTGTTGGTTTTTCTTTCATTCTGAGGCTTTAAGAACTAAACTGGCATTAATAATTTGTTATGAAAATAAACACACACACCCGCACACAAACCAACACTATTACACACACATAAACATAATATTCATTTACCTTATGGATTATTCAAATAATCTTAGTGATTATATAAGTGTGCTTATTATCTGTAACACTTAATATTCTATTACGTAAGACGACGTCATGTAACGTACACATAGAGAACTACATAATTAATGAGATTTATATTTTTATACCATGGCGTTTTTCATATATATAATTTTTAAATATTTTTCGTTCGGATGGGTGGCGACAGGGTTCATTACGGGTTCTTATCATATTTCATCAGGATAACAGGTGTATAGGTAACGTATGAGTTATATTAATTGTAATATGTCATGTGTTCATTTTTTCAGAAGGTATTTCTAAGAAGTGTTATGACAGATGCCAAAAAGTTTATTATAATAATAATAATATTTTAAAAACCCACAGGGCTGTTCAAACAAATCCTTAATAAGAAGGACAACAGCCATTGGTATAGAAGGGACATTGGTTACCCATGAGATTTAGAAAACAATATTTTTCAAGGACTCACCGAGGAGTGGATTTATTAAAGAATATTTTTCAAGGGCCAACTGAGGCGTGGATTTATTGAAGAATGCTTTTTTCAAGGACCCACAAAGGCGTGGATTTAGAAAATAATATTTTTTCAAGCTCTCACAGAGGCCTGGATTTAGAAAAGAATATTTTTCAAGGACTCACAGAGGCGTGGATTTATTGAAGAATGCTTTTTTCAAGGACTCACAGAGACGTTTATTTCTTAACGAATATTTTTTCAAGGACTCACAGAGGCGTGGATTTCTTAAAGAATATTTTTTCAAGGACTCACAGAGGCGTTTATTTCTTGGGAAAGAATATTTTTTAAAGGACTCACTTATTTTTTAAGGCGTGGATTTCCAAAAATAAAAGAATTTTTTTTTAGAGGAGTCAATAACAGTTCATACGAGGCGTGGATTTCTTAACACCGAATATTTTTTCAAGGACTCACAGAGGCAAAAATGGATTTCTTACAAAAAACAACAACAAAAGAATAACAAAAATTTTTTAAAGGACTCACAATTATATAGGCGTGGATTTCTTAAAAGAATATTTTTTTACCTTAAGGACTTAAAAAAATCACAAAGGCGTGGATTTCTTAAAGAACATTTTATCAAGGACTCACAAAGGCGTGGATTTCTTAAAGAATATTTTTTCAAGCACTCACAAAGGCGTGGATTTTTTAAGGAATATTTTTTCAAGGACTCACAGAGGCGTTTATTTCTTAAAGAATATTTTTTCAAGGACTCACAGAGGCGTGGATTTCTTAAAGAATATTTTTTCAAGGACTCACAGAGGCGTGGATTTCTTAAAGAATATTTTTTCAAGGACTCACAGAGGTGTGGATTTAGAAAAGAATATTTTTTCAAGGACTCACAGAGGTGTGGATTTAGAAAAGAATATTTTTTCAAGGACTCACAGAGGTGTGGATTTAGAAAAGAATATTTTTTCAAGGACTCACAGAGGTGTGGCTTTAGAAAATAATATTTTTTCAAGGACTCACCGAGGCGTGGATTTCTTAAAGAATATTTTTTCAAGAACTCACAGAGTTTCAGGGTAGACTTTTGTTTTTTTTTTAGGCCTCGGGGCCTCACATTTTGCATAGGCATTTTTTTCGAAGGTCTCAAATTTCTATACAATTGTTTTTAATATGACTGGCATGACTAAATATTTCTAAAATATATTTTCCAAGATTGCCGAGGCCTAGAAATATATATATATATATTTCTAGGCCTCGGCAATCTTGGAAAATATATTTTCGTAGGCCCCAGCGGTGTACACATTTATATACTGTATTTTTAGTAAGATTCAAACAATTTAATAGGAAATTTGTCCTACATCTTAGATGACAAAATATGTTTTATATAATTTTTTTCAAGGTGTCATAGCCCCTGTGTTTATTTTTTATACCATATTTTTCAGAGGCCTACATATTTCTATACCACATAGCAGGAAGATATGTTTAATAAAATTATTCCTCATTCGATTCGGCTAAATAGCGCTATTTCAAAAGTTCAAACAATTAACCTAATACCCTTCCATACGGTAGTTCCTCATCACATTGACATTTCAGCAATTTATTGTCATTTCAAAATAATTGCTAATTTCGAAAATTAATTGTCTATATTAAGTTACATTTTAATTAGACATAATTGAAGTCATACCTTCAATAAATTTTACGGAAAATACTAGCACAAGGTTAAAAACCATAAATCAATGCGTACTTGACCTTTTTTTACTGCTGCTGTGACAATTTACGGTAATTGATATTTTTCCCAAGAAAAAATTCCGAAAAAAAGATGGAACTACTTCAGACATGTTTGTAGCCAAGTATCATATAACTAAATATTTTTGTATTTATATTTTTTGTTATTCGAAGGTAAATCGAATTTGAGATAGGAAATACCTACCTCTTCCACTTACTGCTTCTCTTGCACACTCTCTGTCGAGTTGCAAATATTTTTCACAAACATTTTGGGAGTGGGCTATTGGGGGTTGCATGAATGGCTATTCCATGAAAAAAAATTTTGCATAAGCTTCGATTGCATGTTATTGCAGATTTAATGTCAGGTATTTTGCTTTACAAAATTGACACGTTTTGTTTTTACAAAAATATAAAATGCCAGTATCATGTCGGGGTTTTATATTTCCAAAAATTTAATAAAAAAATATAAATAACTATAAATATGAAAATACTTGATTCCTGACAATCAAAAGCATTTTAAGGAAATTACATATTTTTAGTTAGAAAACGAAAACAATAGAACAATAGAAAAAAATAAAAAAGTAGTAAACTTCGGCTAGGCATGAGGTACAAAATAAAATAATATACAAAATAAAATATATACTGAGTGGAGCAGTATAGTCGGACGGGGCCGACCATACGATACCCTACACAACTATCACGGAACGCTAATTTTCTGTGGATGTTTATTCCGAGCCTGGGCAATATTTCGTCCCTCTAGCCTGATTAGAGGTCAACAGCACCGCTTCCTTACACTGACATATTTTCCGTATATTACTATTCATATTCAGTATTATTTGTCCATATTACCTTCACCGTGGGTTGTGTTGTGATGTTCGGCCTATTATTGGCATCGACTCGAAAAAACACAAAACAATTAAGTATTCGGTCCACTTCATCCCATAATTATAATCTGATTATCACCGTTGTCCTTGACCATAACTGGAACCTCATGGAAAATTTAAAATCGATCGGCGCTATATTTCCGCCCTCTAGTGTGGTAATGGGTTACTAAATAATATCTGAGTCCACTTCATCACATAATTATAATCTGATCATCACCGAAAGTTATAGGCCTTGACCATAACTGGAACCTCATGGAAAATTTAAAATCGATCGGCGCTATATTTCCGCCCTCTAGTGTGGTAATGGGTTACTAAATAATATCTGAGTACGAAAGCACCTGTAAATATTTAAGTGTAACTCCCACATCCGAGTACATACTATAATATAATTGGTATCAATTTAAAGGTAAACCAATCCTCTTGGATATATTATCAACTTCTCGGGTCTATGTCCTTCAGGGGTAAATATATACGCCATAGTATAACAATTTTGTAATGTTTTAACCCAAAAGTCAGTGTCCATTTGATCCGCTAAATATTTATCGATCCTTATCAAATCGAGCATACTTATATTTGGCCCTATCCCCTTCTCCATGTAACATTTCGCGATGATCGGACCATAATTGCGGCCTCTAAAGCGATCAGCAAAACCGACAAAAATTAAGTGGACCTACCACAATGCCTGTGGTAGGTCCATGAAAATAATTTTTTAAAGTCCACGTCATTGGATGACCCCAAAAAATATTTTTTTTTAAATCCATGTCTACGCATGGCCAAGGAAAAAATATTAATAGAAAACCCCACGACTAAGAAAGACTTATGGCTAGACTTTTAAAAAGAAGTAACTTACTTTAGGCGTATTACATACCTACATAATGTACATATAAATAATACGCCCTAGTGGCTAGCCACATAATGTGCATAAATAATGAGAATTACTTTGATTTTTAATGCAATAAAATTAATCCCTTTTCGTTTGACAGTTTTATGGCAGAGCGTCAATTATGAGCGTCAATTAAAACTCTCCTGGTCCTTTTCGAACCCACCTCTCACATAAAATAAAAATGCTCATAAATATTAAATTTAAAAATTCTTATCTATGACCATATAATCTCCTTCAACTATAATTTTTGATTGCCAGTGTATTTCACTTTTAATGGTTGGCCAAGCAGGGCGGCGGATTTAAGCATTCTACTAGCTAGTTAATGCCATTGTCGCCATTATAGCCTTTACGAGTTGCAACAATAACAACAGCTACATAATACACACCTACATAAATATCTACTTAATCTTGCACACCCACAACTACAACTACATCTACATGATTATATGCATACATACATACCTTTGAATCGCCAGCATCCACAAATTTAATGATTTCAGTGTATATATTATCGATAACTTCCAGGCGATCTTTCACATTGTTATCCAGAACACATAATTTAGCCACAGCGATGCCCTTTTTGCTCAGAGCTTCCAATAGATTTTTCTTTTGGTTATCCATTTGACTGCAGGCGGCAGGCAGTCAGGTGCAGCAACAAAATACCAAATTCCGTTCATGTCCAGGGCACCAAAATGAAATATGTTTGGCCGGAGCACAGCACAGCACAGCATCGCAAAAAAATCACCACAAAATGAAAATAAACCCAAGGGAAGAGAAGAGAAGACAAGAGACAAAGTATTAAAAACCGCAAATAAATGAAAAATTCAAATAAAGCGTGAGCAAAGTGAATGACTGACTGCAGAGTGAGTGAATAAGTAGCAAACGTTTTACGCGCTTGGTTAGAGTCAATTTAGAAGTTCATTATTTTTAAATCGTGAACAATATATATATTTTTTTGTTCTGCTCTGTGCTGTTCGTTTGCCGCTTTGCGGTAGCATCCAATCATGCTTGGCTCTCGTGTGTGCGTGATAGGGATGGGTGCTGGTTAGGGTTGCTACATATTTTAAAGGAGTCTACCAAAATAAGTCCATGAAAAAATACATTTAAAAACTCGACACCTCGACACACAAGGTAGGATCATGAAAAAATATTTTTAAAAATCCACTCCTAAAGGAAAGTACTAAAGCCGGACTGGGCCGACTATATGATACCCTACACCACTTTGGGTATATTCTACATATGTATCCTAACATATATAGAATATATCTGGACCGATTTCAGGGAAACTTGCCAGTGACTAATTTATATTACATCAGTATGTTGTTTAAATCGGCCTAGCTATGGATCTTTTCACACAGCTTAGCAACATCATTCTAGACTTAAATCAGTACCCTATACCTAAATTCGTGCAAATCGAAAGATATATAGGGACTTTGGTGCACCAATTACATAAAATCGGATGAAAATATATATGGGAGCTATTCTAGATCTAATTAATTACGCTATGCCAAATTTGGTAAAAATCGAAAGATATGTAGTGACTTTGGTACACCATTTACCTTAAATCGGACAAAAATATATATGGGAGCTATATCTAAATCTGGACCGATTTCCAGGAAACTTAACACACATCATTCTAGACATAATTCATTACGCTATGCCATATTTCGTGCAAATCAAACGATATATAGGGACATTAGTACACCATTTACATTAAATCGGACGAAAATATATATGGGAGCTATATCTAAATCTGGGCCGATTTTTTCAAATTTCAATAGGGTTCGTCTTTGGGCCAAATAAGTGGCCTATGCCAAATTTCATCCAAATCGGATCATAAATGCGACCTGACTTTGTTCACAAAAATACATGGACAGACAGACATACGGACGGACATGCATAAATCGACTTAAAAGATGATTCTATGCATATTCTAAAAAGGAACCATGTATCTATCTCGTTTCCTTTTGCCTGTTACAAACATATGCACAAAGACATAATACCCTGTACTACAGTGTGGTGAAGGATATAAAAATCTACGCTTAAGGTAGGACCAAAGGAAATCCAGGACCATTAAAAAGTATTTTTAAAAAATTTACGCCTATGGTAGGATCATGAAAAAATCCTTGAAATAGACTATCCTCGTCTATTAGACCTAGAAAATTTTTTCTTTAAAACAAAATCAGGTTTTTTTGCTCTTGAAAAAAGTTTTTCACATTTGATTCTTGAAAAAATTGTTCCTAAATAATCCAGGTCCATTGATTTGTAAAAATTCAAAACGGCAACCCTTTTGCCAGCTCGGTTAGCTTTTGTGGTTTGAAACACTTTTTGGCTAAATAAAGAATTACCCCAACATTGCAGCGACACAAAACATGGTCGAGATTTTTATCCACACATCTCTCTAACTACCTCCTGCCCCGGTACCTGCTCCCGCTTCCCCTTAAACTCGGATTACCTTTATAATTGCCTTAAATGCTTGTTGTTGTTGGTTTTCTTCTATCTCCAATAGGTAGAAACGAAAGTAGAACGTTCGAATATCTATATATATATACACAAACACACATACATATACAAAAGTATATGTAGATTTTTGTCTATATACTGTTGCTTGTGGAGTATCAAAACATTTGCGTTTCACAAGTACTCCAGCTGTTCTTTTGAAAATGCCAGGAGGTGCCTGCTAGCCAGCCACCAACCAAAGCAGGTGATGGGGAATATTTGGGGGGGTGGGGGGAGAAACCATTTGTGCGGGGCGGTGATTTTTGAAGTGTTAAAGTTCGGTTTCTGTGTTTAATTTTTACCATTCGTCGTCGTTGCTATAAAATTTATGGTTTTTGATGGCAAACAAAGTTTTATGTTGAACACACGCACACATTTACACTTTATTTTTGGTCGGTAGGTTGGTATCTTTTAAAAAATTCAAAAACGAAAGCGCAAAAAAATGATTGTAATTATCTGGTATTTAGGCAGTCAACGGCAACTCCTCCGGATCATCAGCATGCTATTCAATTTTAATAATACATAAAAATCCATTATGGTTAGTAGTTTAGGAGAATTTATGAGCCATCGGTTAGCACTGCAGCAATGATGTGGGTTTCTCTGGGCAAGAGGCAGAGAGAGAGAGAAAGAGACTAGCATCATTAAATGCTAACTCCGTGGCTTAAGTTTGTGATTAAATTTTATTATTATACGAAAATTGTAGCAAAGGTCGTAGGATAATATGGGGACAATAATTTTTTATCGGGCTACAGTTTACATGGGATGGTGATGACGTATGGTGTCAACCTGGATATAGATCTTAAAAAACTATTGAAGTTAATTATACTGAATTTCTACGGTAGAAGAATTTCCTATGTTAATCTGAAACCTGATTTGGAAGAGTCAAAGTTTATAAAAATATTAATTTCGAGCTAAGAACTTAAATTTTTTTTAAATGTTTTCAGTTTTATTGGAAAACATCTTCAGAAGCTTTCTTCAGCTATTCCGAAAAAAAATCTACAAAAATCTATATAAGGGCAAAAAAAAATATTTAAAAACTTGACGTCTACATCAGGACCCTTAAAAATATATTTCAAAAACAATGCCTATATAAGGACCCCCAAAAACATGCATCCCCTTGCCCGATTAGAGATCAACAGCACCTCTTCCTTATCCTAACACATATTCCGAATATTACTAATAATCAGTATAGCCCTTCTAAGCCCTTGTCCAGATTCCCTTCACCGTGAGTTATGTTCTGATGTTCGGTTTTTAGTTGTGGCCTATAAATCGACTTGAAAAAAACCACAAACAATTAAGTTTTCGGTCCACTTTATCTCAAAATTATTAACTGATCATCACCGAAAATTATAGACGTTGTCCTTGACCACAACTGGAATCTCATGGAAACTTTCAAAGCGATCAGTGCTATATTTCCGTCCTCTAATGGAATAATAGTAATACTAGGCACATAGCAACCTTTACCTAATTACGGATAACTCCCACATCAGAGTACATACAGCCATATAATTGGTATTAATTTGAAGGTCAACAACTCCTCTTGGATATACTATCAACTTCTCGGGTACATGCCCTTCAGGAGCAAGTATATATGCCCCCAGAATAAAGATTTTGTAGTTTTTCACACAAAAGTCAGGGTCCATTTGACCCGCTAAATATTGACCGATCTTTATCAAAACAGGCATGTAAAATTCTCCATGTAAAATTTGACCATGTTCGGGTCATAATTGCGGTCTCTGGAGCGATCAGGAAAAACGTCAAAAATTAAGTATTTGGTCCATTTCTTCCCGTAAATATTAACCTTTCTTTACCAAAAACAATAGGGGTCTTCATTGGCCAGAACCCATCTTACGTACAAAATTTCGTGAAGATAGGTCCATAACTGTGGCCAGTATCGTGTTTACAAATTATAATGGACGGACGGACACACATGTCTAGATCTACTCAGCTTGTCGAGATGACGATCGGTATACTTAATGGTGGGTCTAGGACCCATATTTCGCGGCGTTACAAACTTTTGGGGCTGCACAAAGCTATAATACCCTGACAACATAGTTGTGTAGGGTATAAAAACCACGCTTGTATTAGGACCCTCCAAAAATATTATTTTTTTTTTAATTTTTTTTTTTTTTTTAAATCCACTCTTGTGTTGGTCCCTGAAAAGATATTTTTAAAAAAAATCCACCCCTATGTTGGTCCTCGAAAAAATATTTTTTACGTGAGCTGATGGTGACAATAACATTTTTGTTCGTCTACTTCAAGTAGGCACTTCCTCTACTCAAATGTTTATTAAATGACTTCTAGACCAAGAGTTTGTATTAAATAACCACAAATTCCCTTGAGTATATTGGTAATTGATAAATTTCCTTCTTTAATTTCTATCTTCTTATTCCTTCCTTTCACAATAAAATCCAATTGAATCTTCCCCTCTTAAATTTAAAATCTTCTCAGGACTCACACACCCACATACACACTCACAAATAAAAACGTTCAAATGAAAATCCTCTCCACAAAATTGTAAACAATCTAATTAAGAGCCTTGGCAACAGAGAAGATGAGAATAAATATGTCAATAAAATATTAATGTCTTTACGTGGTCAGTTGACATGATTACTATTTCGAATTTGATTGGCAAATACTCCGAACAATAACGGCAACAACAACAACGACTACGAAAATGACTCTTTGAAAGACATTAAATATCGATTTCGTTTATTAATCAATTAATGTCAGTCATTTAAAAGGGCACATGCATGTGTTGAACACACATACACACACACTCATATAGAATCTGACACACACACGCACACACTGCCACAGATTGTGGGAGTTACATCATTATATTGGACAGAAAACCATAGAACGAGCAATTTATCCTAATGACTTCAGTTAAACATGTAACGAGTTCAGACCAGTTGTTCGGCATTCGTCTAAAGCAGTTGTTGTTGTGGTTGCTGTTGTAGTTGTTGTCGACTTGAATGGTTCACATCAATATGTGGCACCACACAACAATAACAACAATGGGGCCAAAATAACGCCCCAAAATAGCCTTAAGTAGTCTTCGACGGCTGCGTCTCCTCTTCAGAAATACTAAAAAACAGGAAGAAGGGAAGGAAAGGCATTCAA